GGCCCTCTCCACTGCTCACCAAACGGGCAGAGGGCCTGGCTGCAGTACTCTCGAAATGTGCAAAATGAGACTGAATCCTCCCCTAGAACATGGAAACATACATTACCATCTTTTTTGTCTTTTGTGCATCTGGAAAGTAGTACAGCCACGCCCAAAGTCCAAAAGAATTTTCCCCTGGAACAGTGAAAGATACACCGCCATACTTTGGGGCTTGCTGCACCACTCTCCAAATGTGCAAAATGAGACCGAATCTACCGCTAGAACATGGAGAGATACATTGCCATGTTTTTTCAACTCTTTTGTCTTTTGCACACGTGGAGAGTAGTGCAGCGAGGCCCTTTCGTCTGGCCCTTCTTCAAAAAAATCTGATCTACTGAAGAAAAAAAAAAGAACAATCTACTGGCCAAAAGAATAACTGATCTGCACATCCTGGGTAAGAGTATATATATATATATAGTCTGTAGAGTTTTCCATCTGGTGTGGGTGAGTGATAGTCTACTTTGATTTTGGTTAAGGTAGATTATCATTTACAGTGTAATCAGTGAGGGGATTCTGCAGACTGTTGAGGGTTCAGCGTCCTACTGAGTCGGTGAAACTCCGACGAAACAGTTTGTCACAGCCCCTCGTTTGTTGTCCTCTTCTCTCTCTCTGCCTACGGTTTTACCGGGCAGTTCTGTTTGTGACGATATATATATCGTCACAAACAGAACTGTCGTCAAATATAGACAGGTCTGTGTGGGAGTGTCATGCGAGAGACCCGCTATTTGCTTTAAGAGTACATATATATCGTCACAAACAGAACTCCCCGGTAAACCGTAGGCAGAGAGAGAGAAAAGGACAACCAACGAGGGGCTGTGACAAACTGTTTCGTCGGAGTTTCACCGACTCATCAGGAGGCTGAGCCCTCAACAGTCTGTAGAATCCCCTCACTGATTACACTGTAAGTGATAATCCACCTTAACCAAAATCAAAGTATACTATCACTCACCCACACCAGATGGAAAACTCTACAGACTGTCGGTTCACACCCCATCACAAGCAACAACCAAGCAAAACATCCACGAAACAAAGAAAGGTCTGTCACAGCCAAAAAATACACTCCAGACACGCCGCTGGCACTAGAGGCACAGCATGGCCGTATTGTATACCTATATATCGTCATATATACAGGGTTACCAGCCCGTACGTACGGAGGGCCCTGGGCGGACCTCCGTACGTTCGGGCGTTCGGGGTCCCGTACAGGGCCCGAACCCGATGGCGTTCGGCCCCCGCCAAAAATTATTTCGGGGCCTAAAAATATTTTGTTTTTTCTGAAATTTTTTTTAATGGGTTCTCTATGACGTGAGGTACATGCCTATGAACTTTCAAGTCATTTGGCTTAGCCATAAATGAATTAAAAATCGCCAAAGATGGCGGTGTCAAAACGTGCTCGCCCACGTTGTTTTTCACTTTTTACTTTTTGTTCTCACTGTAGTTCGGGGTCTAGACAATTTTATCTCTTTTTGAAACTTTTTTAGTGGGTTTTGTATTTGTGAAGTACACATCTGTGAATTTTAAGGGCATTTAGCTATGCCAAAAAAAATGAAAAATCGCCAAAGATGGCGGTGTCGAAAACATGCTCGCGCACTCACTAAATTTAATTCTCTTTTTATTTTTATTTATTTTTATTTATTTTTATTATTAGTATTTGTTCTGTGTATTTTATTTTTATTTCAAATTTGGTAAGGAATTCGGACGTAATGCTCAGGCAAATCTTGTTTAATTTATTTTTCTCTCCATAACACATCTTTTTTTCAGATTTTTTTGATAACTTTTTTTTTTTTTTTTTTTTTTTTGGGGGGGTCCGCGTTCGGCCCGAACGGCCGAATGCATCCCCAAGGAGTCCCATACGTTCAGGCGTTCGGGTTCGGGCGTTCCGCCCGTCCCGAACGCAGGTTACCCTGTATATATATATATACATAATTATATATGTTGGTGGGAAGTTGAGCGATCAGACATTGCACGCTCTACAGTCCTCACCTTCAGGCCCGAGCAACACGGTACGCGGAATGGTGCTACATTTTCCGCAAGTGGCCCAGCTGGGTGGCGAGGGTACCTGGGCAGGCCCAGGCAGACACAGCCAAACCGAGAGTCCCAGCACGAAACATTAAGAACGAACGAAAAAATCAAATAAAAAATCTGCAAAAAACCTAGGCTACCAGAGTGGTCCAGCGCCACTTGCCCGGCTGGGCCAGAAAAATTAAAAATAATAATAATTAAAAAACAAATAGTTCGATGCAGGGTTACCGGCGTTCGCGACGGGCCGAACGCCCGAAAAACAAAAAACGTTTTCAAAAAATTCCGAAAAACAACAATGTTTAGGAGAAAAATAAACTAAACAACATTTGCCTGGGCACTACATCCAAATTCTTTACCAAATTTGAATTACAAATCAAATGCAGAAAATAAACACTACGATAAAAATAAGAAAAAATAAAAGAGAATTAAAATGAGTGAGTGTGCCAGCACCTTTTCGACACCGCCATCTTTGCCAATATTTAATTAGTTTTTGGCATTGACAAATGCCCTGAAAATTGACAGATATGTAATTTACATAATCATTAACTCATTAAAATTTTTTCAAAAAATAATAATTTTTTTTCGGGCCCCGAAATAAAGTGAAAACAAAAAGTAAAAAGTGAAAAAAAAACAAAATAGTGAGTGGGCGAGCACGTTTTGACACCCCCATCCTTGACGATTTTTAATGTTTTTTGGGCTTAGCAGAATGGCTTCAAAATTTATAGGCGTGTAGGTTACATCATAGAGAACTCACAAAACAAATTCAGAAAAAAAAACTTACTTTTAGGCCCCGATTTTTTTTTTTGGCGGGGGCCGAACCTGGAGGTGTTCGGCCCCCGAATGGGACCCCGAACGCCCGAACGTTCGGGTGCCAGCCCGGGGGGCCCCGAACGTTCGGTCAGGTAACCCTGGTTCAATGTTTATTTTAAATATGGTCAAGAATTTCGATGTGACCCTGAGGCAAAAGTTGTTCAGTTTATTTTTCTGCAGAACAGTGTTTTTTCGGATTCTTTGGATTGTTTTTTTTTTTGGTTAGGACCTTCCCTGGTCCTTGCACGGCCGGACCGTCCGGGAAAATAGGGTGACTCGGGCGACCTGGCTGGTAGCCTAGCGAAAACCGCATTTCGACATGTTTCGCTAAATGCATAGCAAAGAACTTTCGGCTGAGGTTCACTTTGAAATTCATTATTTTTAAATTTTCGATATTTTATTATTTTAATATTTTCGAGATAAAAATAAACACAAAACGAAAGTTAAGATGTACACCTTGGAGGCCCTTTATTAGAACCTGTTGATAGTTACTTCATACACCCCCTATAGCCCCCCCTGGGTGACCCCGTCACGCGATCGGAAGATGAGCCCGGATTCTGACTGCTCAGGCCAAGCACAGCCCAGACCTTACATCAGAAACCCTTTTTGGCGGGGGATCCTTGCCTTCTTTCCGGTTTTCCTGGGCGGATCCCCCCTTGCCTGCCCAGCCAGCGAGGCTGCTACCCTAGCTGTTGTGCGACGTACCTGTGGCTTGTGCACGCACGTTGCGGTACCTGCTGCGCCTGGCCAATTTTTGTAGGGTTCCGGTCCCCTCGTCTGCACGCCAGCAGATCTTGGGAGCACGGTCGGACTCCATTTAAAAAAATAAAAAAATAAAAAAAAATCCTAGAATCAATTGTGCACATCGTCTCCGCTTTCAACAACCAAAAGTTGTTCCGAAAAAAAGACCCGTAGGTCATAACGCTGCCCAGTGATCATGATCGCTGCAGGACACTGGTGAGGCAGCTGACTGTTTTGCCCAAAGGTCTGCATCACATGACAAGAGAGGCGGTGGCCTGTCACATCAAGCGGCAATAGCCCACCCAGAGGGGAGCGCGAAGAAGAAAAGAAAAAACTGTGCTTCACAAGAGGGTGGTAGGCAAATAATACTGGGACTCCATCAACTAAATGAGATGGACTCGGGTACAGCAAGCCATATTGCTGCTGCATAAAGCACAATGCAAGAAACAGTCTGGCAATGCCCTTCTGAGAAAGCGAATGGTGGAAGTCATCTCTCGTCCACCTGATACTGACAGGAGTCGAAAAAAAAGCAGTAAACTTGAAATAGACTTCAAAAAGATATTAAAGAAATGAAATATTTGACGAACAGAAACAGAACAAATAAACAAGTCAGGCATTCATTAGGGAAAGAAGGAAAGAAAGAAAAAACGGGAAGCAGGAACGTCAGCAACTTCAACACCATGAAGGCATCACAGAGAAGTCGGACAGAATTTCTAGAGATCAACACAACACGAAGCGAGCAACCACACGCAGGTATGGACAAACCCACCCACAGACACGCACAAACACACACAAACGCACACACACACACACACACACACACACACACACAAACACACATGCACATATGCATGGACCACCACCCACCCACCCCCATACACGCACACATGAAGAAATGGGGTGGAAAACAAAAGGAACTTATGGAGGGAAAATGGCAGGGTAGAGGAAAGGAGAGGGCATCCCAAGGGCAAGGAGGGAAAATGGCAGGGTAGAGGAGAGGAGAGGGCATCACAGGGGCAAGGAGGGAAAATGGCAGGGTAGAAGAGAGGAGAGTCGGAGAGAGGAGAGAGGAGAGAGGCAAGGAGGTAAAAGGTAGACCATATGGAAGAGGAGAGGATGGAATAGAGGACAGGAGATAAGAGGGGACAGAGGAGGCAAGAGTACGGGTGCGAGAAGAGAGGACAGGTGGCTTAAGAGGAGAAGTGACACAGGGACGGAGAGCATGATGAAGCAGGAAGGCGGAGGGGATGGAGAAAGTGAACGCATCGAAGGGAAAGACTGGGGAGGTAGTTGGGGGGAGGAGATGGAAGGAGGCACGGCAGGAGGGGAAGGCGAAAGACAAAAAGGGAGAAGCAAAGAACGAAGAAAGAAGAAAGATGTGGGTCTGCATGGTCGCCTTGCAAAAAGGCAGGAACGATACATGCTAAACAAATTGCACTTTTCCCATCAACAATTATCGAAACATCCCCCCATGGATTTCGTTATACAAAGAAATACTCTTCGATTGACTCAATCTCTACAGGTCAAAAACTGAGGCGAACCACGATAGCTCCCCATGCAACGGATACACGCAGAGGACACCACCAGGCTCATGCAGACGAGAGTCTTCACTCCATGTCGACGCTACCGCTAGGCAAACCTGATCATGCCAGGATGCCTCAAGAGAACAAGTACAGGGACAATTCAGCAGATAGAGGGGTAGGTCAAGTGAGAGGAGAGGCGGAACGGAATGGACCCAGGTTACGGTGGCGAGGTAAGTGAGGAGATTAAACCACCAGTACACCCGGGCCTGCAGGTACCTTACTGCGCGCCAAGCTTTTCCGAACCCCCAGCCGCACACTCCTTTTCTTTTTTGGCTGGCGCCGCCAGCCATTGTGGTCCAGTAGGCCGAACCTCCGAAATTCTCGTAGGTGACGAATTCGGAATTTCTTTTTCAGCAAGGCTGGCGCTGTGTACTGGCAGGTTAACAAGTGAAACGCCGAGGCTGGAATAAACAGCGACTCCGAACCAATATGCTCGCTCATAACAAGAGGGAACTAAGAACGTTGACGAAAGCCAGACTCGCACGAACAACCACAAAGGTAGACACCTTCCGAGAGGGAGGCTGTGCATCACTCCAGCTGGAGGAACTCGATAGAGTAGCCAGCCGCCGAAACCTGCCCTTGCAATGCCCTTTTCGTTGGGAGGTAACACTTGTTTCTTAGGTGAGATAAGACCCCAGAAAGGGACGCCACTTTTCTCGTAAAGTTCGCGTGGCGCATCAAGACTTCCCGCAACCTTCCCAGCACCTGCCACAGCCATCAGGGAATCGACAAAGAGCAACCAGCATCAAGCAAGCATGAGCAGATGGAAGAATATGAACACATCAAAACCTACCCGAGAGGTATCAGACAATATATATGCATCCCTCAGGCGTCCTACATGACGTGATAGACCGTCGTAGCTCCAGATTTTGGGTTCCGGCTCCATGACACAGCAGGAGAAAGCTTCCCTTCACATGCCTCTGTGCATAAGAGCCCCTTTTAGAAAAGGCTTTCCCCATTTAGAATATATATACTTGATTGCCCATCCCAGTGTGTAGTTCTTTTCAGCACCAGAACACCCATCTTCTTTTCTTTTTTTTTTTCATGAAGTGCGAAGGCCGCGAGATACCATGGTTGATCTGAACGGCATCTCGACTTGGAACTCGGGTCTGTATTTCAACAAGTTCCTTGGGTGTACCAGCCAAGCTAGGCACGTTGGTACCCAGCACCCATCTTTGCCGTTAGCTTGAGAAGCAAAAGATTCCACAGTGCACTCAAGCATGTACACCTCCGCCGTTCGCAGAGAACACACACCTCTGCCGCGAGCTTAACGGCACAAGGATCTCTGCTGCTACCAACTTCACCCGCATAGAACGCCCGGTCATTATCGCTGTATGTAGACAGAAAGTTGCACCGAATACGGCTGTAAGGACTGGGCGCTGTATTCGGGTGAGGACGGTAGTTTTACAATGCACACAATCTTCCCCGCTAACCTTACGACAACACACATCTGCTGTGAAATTGGTTGCACCTTTTCATTTTTTGGACCATTTCTCAATTTATGTGTCATCCTCGAATGCGCAGGGGCCACGCTAACCTTCTCTGTATCGTTTGAATTTTAACGGACGTCCCCACGGACTGAACTTTTTTTTCCCCTTCTGTGTGTGAATGTGGAATTCAGACTTCGGCCGGTATAGACTCGGCGCAGACCTTCTTGGTCAACGCAAGCGTCCTCGGTCCTCCGTTCCATAAAGGGTTCTCTCACCCAGCACGGAGAAATGCAGCCAAAGTTGCCGTCATTACGTTATTTTTCATAGCAATGCGACCGACGTATGTGATACGGTTATCACATTGTTCTCTTCAAAGCCAAGGAATGAACGTCTACGATGCCCAAGTCTTCAACACCATCCCCGTGGAAATCAAATGCCTGCACATGTGGTTAGCCCATGTTCAAGGATGTCTTCTTTTCGACCCACAGGTGCAAAAAACACGGTGCAATGGCACCGTTAAACCACTACCGTCTTCACCATCCCCGTGGAAATCAAATGCTGGCACATGTGGTTATCGCCGTATCTGGGCTGAAAATTGTGCCAAATACAGCTATAATGACCGGGCGTTCTATTCGGGTGGAGACGGTAGTACCCTCCGGAGCACTCCGCCAACCTCTTTTTTTTTCCAGGTTACGAACCTCTTTGTTCCTCATCAGGGATCTTGTGAGCAGCGGACACACACCGAGCAACTCGATGCAGGGGACCGGCTCTCCTACTCTGGTTGTTTCCTTTTTCTTCCCACCTTCATCTTTTCCATTTTTCCTCCCTTGGCCTCGTCCACCCCCCTCCCCCTTCGCATCATGCTCGCACAGGGCCGTGCTAATCTTCTCTGTACCAAGCACATCTGAAAAATCGTGAAGGAAGAAGGTGGTTCTCCGCAATTCCTCACGAGGAAAATGTCAGAGAAACCTCCCATCTATCCCCAGATGCAGAAAAGACAAAAACTATCACGTTGTAGCTTTCCCTCTTTTTTTGTTGTTGGATTCTTTCTCAATTTACTTGTGTCATCCTTGTGCAGGGCCATGCTTATATTTTCCGTATGGAGCCACGTCCTGGCCGAGAATTCATTTTCGACGTGCAAATCAAAACAGTCGTGCAGCAAGTTGGCCCTCCGTGAATTTCTCAAGATGCACGTGTCAGCGAAACTTTCTGACTATCACCAGAGGCACACAGGCGCTGCACCTTTCCTTTATTTTTATTTATTTTTGGATTCTTTCTCGATTTCTTTCTTTGTGTCATCCTTGTCCAGGGCCATGCTTATCTTCTATATGGAGCCACGTTCTTGCGCAGAATTCGACATGGAAACAGTTGTGCAGCAAGTATGGCCCTGGTGGTTTTTGCTCTTGAAGCTCAGGCGCCGTTCTGATAATTCATATTCCTTCCCATAACTTTTTTTCCTCTTCGACTTTTTGTTTTTTTGTCTTCTCTGGTCGGCCCCAGTGGTTTTGGCTCTTGAAGCTCGGGCGCCGTTCCAATAATTTCTACTCCTTCCCAGATTTGTTTTTCCTCTCCGACTTTTTGTTCTTTTGTGTTCTCTGGTCGCCCCTTTTCAAAACGAGCGACCATCTGCACATCTGCCGAGGCTCTACCCAGCCTCTATCAGGCCTGCCCAGATCTTCCATGACTTCAGTAAGTAAAAATTTTGTCTGCCTGGGCGGGGTGCTGGTGGTTTTAATAGCACAAACAGAGTGGTGCTCTGTTCGCGCCATGGTTTAATAGCAAAAGCAGACTCGTGTTCCGAGAGCAACTTCTAGAGTCGAGAAGAACGAATCCGCGAAGCAGATGGAGGAGCTGAGTTTGTGTGCCTGCTTAATGTCACCATTGGGCAGAGACCACTCCCAACCAAAATCCCCAAACTGCCACCCCTCCAAACCACTCTCTGGAGGACTACTAGTGCTTATGGAAGCCACAGAGGCAGAGATGAAAGAGCAGACGGGTACGTGCGCAGGAGAGATAATTTCTCACCATCAGATCGGTTTGTACCATACTTGCGGCGTGTAGGTGAAGCGCACTGCGCAGTACGCTGCGCGGTGCGCGGTGCACTAATCCCAGATGCGCGCGCCAAAAAAGAAAAAAAAGAAGCAACCGTTATGTGTGTATACATGCTGCAGAGAGAGAGAGAGAGAGAGAGAGAGAGAGAGAGAGAGAGAGAGAGAGAGAGAGAGAGAGAGAGAGAGAGAGAGAGAGAGAGAGAGNAGAGAGAGAGAGAGAGAGAGAGAGAGAGAGAGAGAGAGAGAGAGAGCACAGAGCCCTTTCACATTATTCAGACAACCCCTGCCAGTACTTCAAAACGGCGCTGCCAAAAATTGGCAAGAGTCCCGTCGGCAGGAGCGGGGTGGTCATTGAACGGGTCCTCACTGGACTTGTAGTAAGGGCCTCGTTCCACTACTCGCCATCCGCCACGAATCGTGGGGAGTCTTGGCGAGGCCGAGAACATGAAAATCATGGCGGAAAACAACGCATGGTTCCATATGGTCGCCCCTCCCACTCGAGTTATGGTAACCATCCCGGCCTCAACACTGGACTGTGGCGGATGGCGGAGCGGTGAACGGTGCTAGCGTTTTGCCACATCGCCACACCAGGCACGAAATGTGCGAAATGGGAATGAACTTACCGCGAGAACATGGCCAGATGCACCCGCTCCTTTTTCACATTTTGAGAGTGGTGTGGTGAGGCCCCAGAAATTCACACCATGCTCGGAGAGAACTCGCCCGCACTACGGTACAAGCCAGGCCAACTGCCAGGGCCGGTCGCCACACGTAGCAGTTCGCGGAGGGTTGACCAGTGCCGCCCTCCACGAAAGCCCATTGCAGGTGGGGGTATATGGAGGCCTTGGCGACCGACCACCAAGTACTTTCGGACCGAAATTCTGACATCGACGGTTTTGTGGCGATTGGCGACGCAATGGATCGGAGTCGCCTTCGCCAGGTGTAGCGGATGGCAAGTAGTGGAACGAGGCCCTAAGGAGGGAGCAGGCCAGCTATATATGGCTTCAACTTCAGGTCTGTGTTTCAGCAGTTATGGGTTACTACTGACTTACTAACTCGGCATGTGATTTTCAGGGCTTCACTCCACTACTCACCAAATGTGCAAAACTAGAATGAATCTTCTCCTAGAAACTGGATCCATACAAGCCCTACATTTTTCTTTTCTGCAAGTTAGGGCCACTGCACGTAAGAAAAGGGGAAAAAAGAAAAAAAAAAAACACGAGACAACTACTGGAGTATTTGTAGTAAGTTCGTAAGAATCGCAACCCATAACTCTTGGAACACAGACCTGAATCCGAATCCAGGATATATTGCTGGCCTACTCGAGGTCTTCCAGCAGTCCAATGGACATTTCCAAAAGCAGGGAAACCCTGCTAATTACATGCAGGGTACTTTTTGGAAAGGAGAATATAACCAACGAGTAGTACGATAAGGCCCCAAAATATTCTCTTTCTGTGCACATACCCTTTTTAAAAGGGAGGGACACTTATGGGTACCACGACCTACCCTTTCTGATTTTTTATTTTTTTATTATTTTCTAAATGCGCCGCATCACGTGCGCACGCACGTGTGCGCATGCGCTGTGTGTGGCGCACGTGCGCAACTTGCGAGCACGTGATGCACCGCATGTATGGTTTGTACAGTATACACCGAAAATCTACAGATCTTGGAAATAAGAGCGGTTCAGGGTCATCTATCAATGACGTCCACTCGGGCCTCTCAGCCATAATGGGAAGTAGCATGCGTGAGTAACATTTGTATTTTTTGTGACTTGCTGGTGGAATAGGCACCAGTGACCAGACTGATGCTCCCCACTGTCACCAGAAAAGAAAAAAGGATCCAGAACCATAAGGTCCTTTTTTACTACCTTTCTCACTGTTGGGAAAAACGGGAATATACGTCACACCGGATTTTTCCGGGGTCTAGACGAGGCTCAGCACAAAGGAAATGCTCGGGCCTTGTGGGCCCCCTTGAAAAAAAAAAAAAAAAAAAAAAAAAAAAGCAAGCAACTGCACGGAGAGGAACGGCATAGGGGAAGGCCGTAAAGTACATATATACTCAGTAGTGCCCACGGGAACGAATCTAACCACAACAACAGCCAGATTCAGCTTTTGTTTTTTTTCCGTTCTTTTTTCTTTTCGTTGCCCTGGCCCGCGAGGCAGGGCGCTATACACGCACTGCTGACACATCCTGATGGAGGGGGTAAAATCTCACATGAAGTCTAGATTCTGTATGTAACCATTTTCACGGCAGGATTATATTTTTTTTCCTTTTTTTCGTTGTTAGTTTTTGAAAAGCAAACCGCCGCATATACCGCGCCACTGTAACTCAGTCAAGGACGGCATAATCTCACACGACCTCCGTATTCTGCATCCAACTGTTTTTCGCGTCCGTAGAGTTGTTTCTTTTTTTTTTTTTTGGGGGGGGGGGGGGAGTAGGTGTACTGCCATGATCACTGTGCTGATACAATGCAGTCGCTGAGGGCATACTCTCACTGCTACCCACAATTCCGAATCCAACTGGCCAAAATGGGGGCACGTTGTTGCTTTTTTTTCCTATGCTGTTTTCTTTTTCAGTCCATTTACCCGGAGTACCAGAAAAGAAAATTCATTGGATCCCAGGCTCGGCAAAACTCGGTACGCCGTCAAATTCAGCGTTGGCAAAAGCAGGATCGGAGGTAGTGGTGGTTTACGATGGGTTCTATAGGGTTCTCTAATATGCCACCACCAAGGGCCTAAATCTAGCAGGCCTTTAATCCCTCACTGTTGCCTGCAGGAAAGCTGTTTCCGCCTCCGTTCATGTCCTAGATTGCCCGCTAGCTCTCCCATTGGTCAAACTCCATTTTTCCCAAAACAGGGCCACAGCCTTTAGGTGCCGTCATCAGACTGACCAGCCACAGGTGAATAAGAGTTAGTTAATTTATTCATCTGATTAAGTCAGGATTCGAACTCAGGTCTGTTTACCGACAGTTCATCGGTTTGACCGTTCAGCTTCATTGGTCAAAAATTCTCAAAATCCAATTGCTTCACAGTAACCAATTTTCCATCCTAGTTGTCAAAGGGCCCAACATTCATATACCAAGAAGGAAAAAAAAAAAAAAAAAAAAAAAAAGAGGGTTCCAGAATGCCAGCTGGAAAACTGAATTATTGAGACAGGGCGCAATGCACTACCGTCTTCCCCTGTGCATTGTAAACGAGTACAATGCATAGGTTGCTTCTATTTGAATAGAACACACATACATTATATTCGGACAGCCGGAGTATTCGAATACAACGCATAGGCGTTTTATTCAAGTCGTCATAATTTTTTTGAAAACTGGAATACAATGCATATGCGTCATGTTCGGGGGAAGACGGAAGGAACAAGGATATTTCAAACAAACATCAAAGTTAATCGAACAAATAAAAACATCCTTACACGGCAAATAACTAAAAGGCACCCAATCAATGACCCTAGCTCAGTTGGTGCACACACATCAACTGTTGAAATGCACACCCAAGTTGCGAAAACGACGATGAAACTGAACAAAGGAAATAAAATATTTCTGAATTGCCTGGGGGCAACTCAATAAAATGGCGATATCTCAAGGTCGCCGCCCCATTTAACAGAACAAAGGAGGGTAAGGAAGAAACTTAAAAAACGAAACGAAGTTAAAAAAAAAAAAAAAAAAAAAAAATTGAAAACTAAACAGCACCCACCTCGTGGCAATCCGGCAGCATCGAAAGCCTCGTAAAATTGCAGTCCAGCAACACTGCACACCAGTTGAGAACCTGCCAGAAACCGGCCCAAAAAAAAGAGAGGGCATAAGCCACAAGCAAGCATATCGAGACGTGACTTGAATTGCAAAAGAAAGCGACCGGAAAAAAAAGGGGGCACAAGCCACAAGCATACGGAGACGTGACTTGAATTGCAAAAGATGACCAAGGGGGGTGATAATATAAATCATGTTGTGAGTTCAGATGGGAAAAAGACGAAGTACGAAGTTCAAATTGGATAACAAGCAGACGGGGCAGGAATTGTAAAGGAAAGAGAAAAAGAACATTGTTCGGCACAGCCCCACTGGAAATGTCGCTGTCACTTTGCTGCAGTTGTACGCGCCGTACTCGGTCCCTGACTCCCTCTGGCCGTAGAACCGTGGTGTGAACACGTCCTCAGTCTTTTTTTTTTTTCCCCCTAGATGAAGCATGAATCAGAAAACGAAAGAGGGTACAGCCCAACTACACCCGTTGTTGTCATTTTGCTGCGAGTGCAGGTGAGTTACATATCCCAGGCTGTACAACTGATTTTCAGTCCTCTTTTTCTGTATTGCAGCCACTGGGTTCCTCAGGATCATAAAAACAAAAGGGTGGCCACTCATACCTTTCTCGGCGTTTTTGGCTAAGATCAAGTGTAGTATCTGTTCTGATCATCAGTTTAATATCTGATCTGTGGTCCATCGGACCACACACAAAAAAAAAAAAGAAAAAAAAAAAGGGTGGTCACTCAGCTCACTGGATGCCTTGAACACTCGACTCTTTGCAACTTCCCTTCCCTACGAGTACACGTACACACTTCATGCACAATTCACCGAACCCACTGGGCACATATACAACGACAGAACCAAGGGAAATCCTTTGAACTAGAGTGCATAAGGACTACCGTCTTCCCCCAAACATAACGCACATGCGTTGTATCCGAGTTTCAAAAAAGGATTGGTGATAAAATAGACCGCATATGTGTTGTATTCGTATGTTCAGGCTGTTCGAATACAACACATGCGCAGTATCCAAATAGAAAGCAACCCCTAAATAGTCAATAGTATATTCATTTACAGCGCATATGCACTATGTTCGGGGGAAGATGATAGTCTGCTTGGGGCACGTCCTGCCAAGTTCAATGGCACATCAACTCTCCTGCATTTGTTCCCGGAGAAGATTGTTTTTTCGTTTTTGGGCATGGTTGCATCCCTGCCGACCGCCGACCCCGACCGTATTGCAGCCGACCAGTAGGGCCGACCGGTCGGCGGTCTGCTGACCAGTCAGAGAGTCAGAAGCTGTACTGCGCTTGCTGAGTACAGCCCAAACCCGCTGAGAATTTTTTGGGGATGGGGGGGTTGGGGGAGGGGTGTATAGGGGG